GAAGTGGAAGAGTAACTTTTCTGAAAAGAGCAAAAAATTATTTTTTAACATAATTGGACATTTTTTAATTAACGATGCAAGATAATAGTTTTATTAATGCTTTGATGAGAAGTTAACAAGCTTTAATTTTTTTGTAAATCAATTAATTTTGCTTAATATTATCAATTTTTGATTTTTATGTCTCTGATAACATTTTTATTAATTTTATCAATGAACAAATTTTAATTAATATCGGCATTTTTATGTTACTTTTTATATCGGTTTAATAACGAGTTTCTAAAAAAATATTAATTTATTTTATGATTCGATAAGTTTTAATAAATATTAACTAATTTTATGATTTAATAAATTTTAATAAATATTAACTAATTTTATGATTTAATAAATTTTAATTAATATTGACTAATTTTATGATGTAACAAGTTTTAATTAATATTAAATAATTTTATGATGTAACAAATTTTAATTAATATTAACTAATTTTATGATGTAACAAATTTTAATTAATATTAACTAATTTTGTGATTCAATAAATTTGAATTAATATCAATTAATTTTATGATTTAATAAATTTTAATTAATATTAACTAATTTTATGATGTAACAATTTTTAATTAATATCAACTAATTTTATGATGTAATAAATTTTAATTAATACCAACAAATTTTATTTATTATTTATAAAATTATTGATTTTATTAACATTTTACTGATACATCCGTTGCTTATTTTATCAGAAATTATTTTTCATTATAAATTAAAAATAACGTTGGTAAATGTAATTTGCTGAATAAAAGACAGTCAAGTATAAAAATTCTTTAATTTAAAAATTAAATAATTGAACTTTTTCAATGATTTTATAATAACACCCAGAGTGTTTAAATAATATACCCTACCTATTTAGGTAGGTTAGGTTAGGTTAGGTTAAGTTTAATAATAATTAATAAATAATAAATAATTGCTTGTTACGAATGGACAAAATAAATCTAGTACTATATGTAAATTAATTATTAATTATTTACTGACATTGCTGTTTTGATAACATGATACATAAATACACAACGTAATGTTACAACGTTATGTCATTTTTAACTTTCACATTAACATCTATAATGTACATATATTGACTCTTTTAAAGCTGAAAAATAATTTATTTTCTATTCTTTTAATTTATTTTAAATTTAAGCGCACACTCATTAATTGTGCTTTTAGGTCACTTTACAGGAAATATAAATTTAAGAAATTTATTTTTAAAACTTCATTATAATTGTTTCTGTATTTGATAAGAAATTGATACACAATAATCGAAAATTTGAAAATTTTCAAATTGCGCATATTAGTACATCTTCTATGTAACAAACACATGAACTTCAACTTCTTAACAATACACTGCGAACGGCACGAATTTCATTTGCATATAGCATAAAAAACATCGGAGATACAATGTATCAATTTTGTTGCAAATATAATACAATTGAAAAACGTAAAAATGAGCTGAAGAATGAAATAACCAGATGTAAGAAATGTCTTTATACGAACAAAAGAAATACCGTATTTAACAGAAAATTAATTGTTCACAGTCGTAGGAAGTATTAGTTAGTTATACAAAATGTACAAAATATAAGATACTGTAAATAAAAATATTATAATAGTCAAGTTTGGAATCCATTCATGTTGTATTTTGTCAGTTTATCTATTTGTCAATTTATGAATTTTTACTTATTTAATCGGTCCATTTTTAATTTCGCTAATTTTTAAATTTGGTAAATTTTAAAATCATTCATGTTGAAATTTGTGAGATTATCAATTTGTCAATTTATAAATTTGTAATTATTTAATTGGTCAATTTTTAAATTCGTCAATTTTTATATTTGTCCATTTTTAAATTCGTTAAGTTTTGAATCTACTCGTTGTTGAAATTTGTCAGTTTGTCAATTTGTCAATTTATAAATTTTTAATTATTTAATTGGTCAATTTTTATCTTTGTCTATTTTTAAATTCAGTAAATTTTAAAATCATTCATGTTGAAATTTGTCAGTTTGTCAATTTGTCAATTTATGAATTTTTACTTATTTAAATGGTCAATTTTTAAATTCGCTAATTTTTGGATACGTCAATTTTTCAATTAATAAATTATCATTTGTCAATATTTAAATTTGTCAATTTGTCAATTCATGAATTTTTAATTATTTAATTAGTCAATTTTTAAATTCCCCAATTTTTGGATATGTCAATTCTTAACTTGACAAATTATCATTTGTCAATATTTAAATTTGTCATTTTCTAAATAGGTAAATTTATAAATTTGTAAATTTTTAAGTTCGTAACTTCGTACATTAGTGACCCTACAAATTTGTAACTTTCTACATTAACCTTACAAATTCGAAACTTCATACATTGGTAACCTTGCAAGTTTGTAACTTTATACATTTGTAAATTTAAATTTCTGTCTCATCGCATCACACACCGTACACACCGGTGCCCACGACTTCTTCACTGCGCGTTCCACGCACCCATCACTAATCTACAATACAGCCATCGAATTATCACTACATATTTTCAGAATTTTGCACGTTTTCCATAAAATTACCTTGTTCGAATTGTAATTAGCTACTATAATACTACTACTGTACATGACATTAACACGTGTTAATATCAAACCCAAAAATAATAGCAAAAATACTAGTTAACATCAATGTTTGAGGGCAGCCATTTTAAATCATACGGAGTCATTATGTTTTAAGATAGCAAACATAACGTCAACATAACCTCTGTACTGCCTATTAAGTACAGTCCCTGGGCACCTTACCACTACAAATTTCCAACATTTTCCACGTTTTCCGTAAAATTAAAAGGCGTGTTTAAATTGTAATTATATAATTTATAAGCTACCATGATACAATACTACTGCATATAACATTAACACATGATATCTTGTATTTTCACGCTTTGCTTTGGTCACAGCTAGTATCGGACATGATCTGTATACATTGATCATACGCTTCACATCTTCATTATTTTCCCAAATAATTCTTTTAAACAAGTATTGTAGCTGCAGAGTTGTAAACAAGCACGCCTCTCTCAAAATTCATTCTTTAGGATTTAATTTTCCCGTTTTGCCGGTACATATTTGGTATCGATACGTGTGCGAACAAGTAAATCGTGGTTGCGACAACATTTCCCGCCACGTAAACTCGACCTCACCTTATTTGCTATCACCATAGCAAATGCCGTGATAAGACGGCGAGCCTGTTAAATGCAGTCTTCCTTTCATCGCGCAAAAACACGTTCGCCACTCGAGAACTAGAACTGGCCAATGCTATTTAACCCTTTCGCTATTACTATTAATAGTAGTTGGCCATTAGACGCTGTTTGTTCTATGATCTGTATGGTCACTTGCTGCGAAACGATCTTTGTGTAGTAAACTGGGGAAAATTGCCAAAATCCGGATACTTAGGACTAGATTTACGGATGCTTCATGGCTAGTTATTTTTGAGTGGATGCGGAGAAATAAATTAGTAAATGTGGGTGGCCAAGTTATTATACTTATACTAACAATAAGTCTCATATTTCTTATTATACTAACAAAAAGTTTCACATAACTTAGATATTTTTATGCAATTTTGCAAATTATTTTTACAGTACATTGTGCTTTTTGTTATAATATATTATGTGAAAATTGAATAGTTAGTTGAAGAGTGCATCCAAAGTTATTTTGTACTTTCGTAACTTTTCAATAAAGTTAACCCCTATGTTAAGGGTCACGATCAAGCAGTGACTTTTTAAAAAATATTTCTATGTACCTTCGTCAGCTATGAAATTTTAAAAAGTTTTCAATGCGAAATTGCAAAGTCCAGCATCATACGACTCTTCAGTAGTCTGAAGAATATCTCTGAAAAAATATGACAAAGTATTGCTTTTTCACTTCAAATTACTGGAACTACAACGTCGCATTTTTGCACAATTTTGCGAACCAAATACATACTGCCCTTGTCTCTCCCGACCGAAACGACATAAAATAAACAAGGACCAAAACATATCAGTTCTCCGACAGACGTCCTAAAAATCTCCAAAAAATCACACTCTGAATATGAGATCCCCAGACTTGTCACATAGTATAACATCTTTTTCTTATTTTTTCGTGTGTAATATTTTGGTAAAGCTTGTCGATAAAAAACTGTAACACCCTGTATGTGTATTCTAGTGTCAGACATCAATGTAATCTTTCGAAATAATGCAATACATTGTAACTGAAACAAATAAAGGTGACATTCTTTGAATTTTTTTCTAACTCCTTGACATCTGTTACATTGTATAGTTTGATAAAAGCAGCACGTTTATCATCGGTTTATTGCACCGTCACGTGTCAGCTACTGTTTGAAAAATGTCAGGCGCCATTTTACGCGTACAATATGCGAGGTAGAGGTAACAAACTAATTTTCTTAGGACAAATCGAATTGTGTCGTCTGGTATGTAGCGTATTAAAAGTCTGTACTGAAGAAAAATTGTAACGTACGTCAAAAATTTTTGTACGAATCGAAAGGACTAACTTGGACATCTGACTAACATGACATTTCTTTCAAAATTTCCATTTATCTTTCATATTTTATATTGTAACAGTACTGTACTTTTATACTGTTCCATCAACTAAAGTTCTGAAATACAGAATTTTTATAATTAGTCGCTCACTGTATCATGTCAAATATTTACAATAAAATCAGCAGTATTGAAATAAATAATGAGAAACATTTAAATGGATCCGCAAGTATAATTAGCGAACGGTTCGCATTTTTCGAGCATACCGATTCTATCCTATATTTTTCAGAAATTTTCCAATTATCCTCGACCGTTGATTAATGGCCGTTTTAAAGTTGCAAAAACTTAGAGATAAACGGGCAAATGAAAGGCTAAAGAAGTTTCACGACGTGAAATGAGCAATTATCGAACGAGTAGACTGGAGAGAACTTGCAGACATGAATCGGCGAATGTTTACATTCCAGGTCAGCCGATTACACGACGGGCATCTTCCAGAGCATCGGCTTCAAGGAGTTTCACGCTTACCTCATGCTATCCGAGGAAGAGAGGCGAGAGAAAAAGGTGAGCAGAAGCGGCCAACTGCAACGTCGTCACGTTTGCTGCAGCTGCAGTTTGATTATCGTAGTTACAACCGATCTTGCCGTGCATGACGTTTTATTTAAAGAGAAATCGAACTGGAGAGAAGTTCAAAAAGAAGCTCGTCCTTGATGATTACTATGGTGGTCGCAGCTGGTATAAATATATAGTACTCGACCACTGTGAATTTTTAGTGTTTTACATGTTTTTCGTAAAATTATACTGTTCGACTTATAATTATATAATTACCTATAACATTACTGTACATAACATTAGCACGTGTTAATATCAAACACAAAAATAATAACAAAAATACTTGTCGATATCAAAGTTTGAGAGCAGCCATTTTGAACCATGTGGAGCCATTTTGTTTTAAGATAGCTAACCTCAACTTAACCTCTCTTCACTTGGTCTCTTTACCTGGTCCTAATTCAATGGGACTGTAGACTAGGGTTTATAGACTGAAATATAGACTTGAAATATAGATATTATAGTAAATTGAATTTTATCTACATAAATAATATTCATATTTGAAAATGATATTTTTATAATAAAGCATGAATATTTACGAACTTATTGTAGGGACAAGCGTTGCTGAACAAAGGCATTGAGGATCTTAAACTTGTTACTAAAAGATATGCAAAAAAGCAGGAGAAATGGATCATGAATCGTTTGGCTCGTCGCAAGGATAGACAGGTATCAAATATTAAATCAATCACAATAATTAATTGATATATACATTATACAGTATCTACTAAACTTAAATTTTTCTTGTACTACTATTCAGGTTAGGAAGTGTAAAATATGTAAAATTAAAATTTCCCTAATTTTAAAATCCTTATATTCTCTGAATTTCTAAACTTTCAAATTTTCAAATATTTTAATATGATTATTTAATTTTTGTATATTTCACAAACTTAGATATTACTTTAGTTATAACATTATTTTTAAGGTATGAGTTCTAACGTGAATACCTGATTTACTAACAAATAGCAAGTTTATTTATTTACATTAATAGATCAGAAATTCACTTGCTATTGTGAGCAATATTTTGTGAGTTCATCTATTTTATATTTCAAGTTAAAAAATTACATGTAATTACTGTTTTTCAGGTACCACCAATTTACGTACTGGACTGCACTCACATAGATAAATGGACAACTTCTGTGTACGAACCAGCAGTAGCAATAATAGAAGCTGTGCTAAAGGGAGAGAAACCTGAACAGAAACCTTTAAACGAAAACATACAGAATGAAAAACACACTGACAGCAGTAATGAAGAAGCTCATTATTGTGATGTAAATTTCAGTTTTAAATATTTTATTCTTACACTTCCGTACAAAAGCCATTGCAGTGTCCTTCACTCCTTTACGCACGTCTCTTATGCATTTAAACACTAGATTTATACTATTATTTAATATTTTTTTGTTGCAGGACTGTGAAAGAGTTTTTATTGGAGAACTTCAATGGAACGCTCATATAAATGGTATGAAACATATGAAGGTTGTGAAGAAAAAGAAAAGACTGGCGCAACAGAAACAGAGAGAAGAGAGTCGATGATAAGACTTTGTAATTATTGTAAAATAAGTTTGAGAGAATGATATTTTATACATGATATGAGAAGATTCCTATTCAGCGTTTCATTTTTTCCTGTTATTCTAATAATTGATACTTGATAAACTGTTTTACAACGTAACGCCAAAATGTTCACATTTGTTGACGATTATTTTATATACAGTTCAGTGTATAATTTACAACATTATAATTAAGCGTTTATGTTAGTTGTTATATAAAATTTCATAATAAACTGGTTATTTTCTCATAGATTACAACACATTATGTATAAAAGTTGTAGCATTGTAAAAATAATTGTGAATAAATTTCTTATCTTGAAATAAGATGCACAAGTTTGATCATTGAACGAGAACTAAATACACTTCTTTAAGCAAGCAACGGTAACACATTTTTAATATGATGAATGCAATATGATGAATATTATATTCAATTAAGCCAATAAAATAAATATTAATTGAATTTTTTTTAATTGAACAAGTGGCGCCGCCTCTCCGGCGAACGAGGTGAACTACATACTTTTGAAACTGCAATTTAATTAGTTCTCATCTTCTACCGCTAGATGGCGACACGTAAGATGTAAATGTGGTGATCATCAGAGTCGTCGTCGGACAAGAGGAATTCTATTTTCAGGCCGTCGATAAAGAAGAATTCTATTTGCATTTGATATTGAATTTTATTTATGTTCAATTGTATTTTAAAATGCAAATCGTTCGTTATTCATTCCTTAATCCAATCTGAATTCAAAACCACATATTTTTAAATCAATTTCAATAAATCAGTTATTTTTAAAAGTTATTATTAATTGACTATTTTAAATACAGAAAAACAAACTCTATATAAACTCTTAGGGTAATTAGGAATAGCCTAGGAATGGTTAAAAAATGACAATAGTTTGGCAAAGGCAAAACAATTCCAAGTTAATTAGTTTTGTACCCCTAAGTTATTCAATCTATATTATAGTCAATTAAAATGATAAAATCAGCAGTATTGAATTGAACAGAAAATGCAGCTCATTTCTCCAGAATTATAGACAACTCTTCTTGACCGACATCTTTGATAACAGAACTCTTCTTGACCGACGACTTTGATGGTCACCACATCTTTATGGTGACCATCAGAGTTGTCGGTCAAGAAGAGTTCTATTTTCAAGCCGTCGGTCATGAAGAATTTTATTTGTACTTGATATTCACTTTTATTTGCATTCAATTTTAAGAAACAAATCGTTCGCTATTCATTCTTTAATCAAATCTGAATTCAAAAGCACATGTTTAAATCAAATCCAAAATCAATTTCAATAAATCAGTTATTTTTGCAAAGTTATTATTTATTAATTATTTAGAATATAGAAAAACATACCCTATAAAAATATAGAAAATATAGAGTTTGTTATTCTATATTTAAAGTAGTCAATTAATAATAACTTTCAAAAATAACTGATTTATTGAAATTGATTTTAAAATATGTGGTTTTGAATTCAGATTTAATTATGGAATGAGTAACGAACTTTTTTTTTTTTAAATACAATTGAACATTAATAAAATTGAATATCAAGTACAAATAAAATTCTTCTTTATTGACGACTTGAAAATAGAATTTCTCTTGACCGACGACGACTCCGATGATCACCACAAAAACGATACGCGTAGCGCCATCTAGCGGGGGAAGGTAGGAACTAATTAAATTACTGTTTCAAAAGTGTGTAGTTCACCCTGTTCGCCGAGGAGATGGCGCCACATGTTCAATTTCTAAAAATTTAAATTTTGGCTTAATATTAAATTAATAATTAAATTTTAAAGGAATATTTAAGGTGAAAAATTTGTATTTTACTTATTTTGTTCACTTGTGTGTAGCCATGTACATATTATCTTAATATTACAAGTGCGTCATGAAATACTTCATATCTGTTTAATTGTTTCAGAAACATCACATTGTGTGAATAACTTGAAACTCGTGCACGGGTCTTTCAGTAAAATGATGGTGCTTTATGTACATACAGCAGTCAAGGAAACAACAGTATAAAATCACTGGTAATTCGCTTATACTCTAGAAATTGGAATTTTTTTTTTATTATAATACAATTTTCTAAATGTTAAATATTTGTATACACAGAAATCTTAAATACTGTAAAATAGAAAACTTATAAATATAAAAATTTTGAATCCTAAAAATATTTATAAAAATAGACATTTTTAACAAAAATTCTTAAACATTCAAATTTTTATATTTTGCATATTTAAATAATTTGACAACTTAGAAATTTAAAAATGTGAAAGCATACAAATTTTTAATTTTAAAAATTGAAAAATTAGAAATTTAAGAATCAGAAATTTTTAATTTTTAAAATTGAAAAATTAGAAATTTGAGAATCAGAAATTTTTAATTTTTAAAATTGAAAAATTAGAAATTTGATATATAAAAATTTATGAACTTTGAAACATAAAAATATTACATTTTGATATTCATAAATTTGTGAATGTAAAAATGTTGAAAAATAAAATATGAAAATATAAATATTTGCAAGTTGCAAGTTTAAAAATTTATTTTTATTTTATACTCATATCAATTTTGGTAGTATAGTATAATTCCAAGATAAAGAGTATAATTACTCTTTCAATTACGAAATAAGGAAAGTCTTTGCTTACTTCATCCTGCGATAATGATGCCACAGAAGGAAATTTTTCTAATGCAGGAATTGGATCCAGTTCACCTGGTTCTTCTGTTTCTTTTGCGTTTTTACTTTCGCGTTTTTTTGAGCGCCGATGATGTTCGAGTGAATCATCATCTTCACCATTTTCATTGATATTTTCGTGATCATTATAATTATCTCTGTCACGTTTCTCTTTTTTAATCTATGAAAATTTTTAAACAGAGAATTCCTAAACTGGAATATTTGAAAATTGACAAATTTCAAAATTATTTAAGTCTACAATTTCTGTACTGTCAAAGTCCAGAATTATAAAGTTTCAAAATTAAAAAATTAGAAAATGAAGAAATTAAGAAACTACGAAAGTTTCTAAACTATTAAAATGAAGAAAATTTTTTAAATCTTGAATTTGTAAATTTAAAAATTTGAAAAATCTAAACTATCAAACTTCTAAATTTGAAAGTTCAAAAATTGCAAAGTTTGACAGTTTCTAAACTATGAAACTGAATTTGAAAATTTTTGAATCGGTAAATTACTGAATTAAAATTTGAAAATTTTGAGAGTTTGAAATTGTAAAAGTAAATTACATAAAATAATACCTGTAACCAAAAATCCATTATGATCCAACCGTGCATGAGATATATAGCCATACCAAAAAGGGAAACTAAACACATAATAAAATTATGAAGAAATACAGGATGCGTTAGCAGCTCCTCGTCTCTGATTATGGTTAAATCGAGATATATATCTGCGTGTTTCATTTCTATTACACCAGCTGATAACAGTAAAATGGCCGCTATGAAGCATCCTATGAAACCCTTTACACATTTGTAAAAATTAATTTCTGTACAAAATATTTTGTACAAGAGACATTATATAAATTGTTTTTGTAAATAATTGTTTTCAAGATCTAAATTATTTTTGACAATAAGTGTTTTCAAGATTTAAATTATTTCTGTTAAAAATTGTTTTCAAGATTTAAATTATTTTTGACAATAGTTGTTTTTAAAATTTAAATTATTTTTAAAAATAATTGTTTTCAAGATTTAAATTATTTTTAAAATAATTGTTTTCAAGGATTTAAATTATTTTTAAAAATAATTGTTTTCAAGATTTAAATTATTTTTGACAATAGTTGTTTTTAAAATTTAAATTATTTTTAAAAATAATTGTTTTCAAGATTTAAATTATTTTTGACAATAGTTGTTTTTAAAATTTAAATTATTTTTAAAAATAATTGTTTTCAAGATTTAAATTATTTTTGACAATAGTTGTTTTTAAAATTTAAATTATTTTTAAAAATAATTGTTTTCAAGATTTAAATTATTTTTGACAATAGTTGTTTTTAAAATTTAAATTATTTTTAAAAATAATTGTTTTCAAGATTTAAATTATTTTTAAAATAATTGTTTTCAAGGTTTAAATTATTTTTGACAATAAGTGTTTTCAAGATTTAAATTATTTTTGTTAAAAATTGTTTTCAAGATTTAAATTATTTTTAAAATAATTGTTTTCAAGGATTTAAATTATTTTTAAAAATAATTGTTTTCAAGATTTAAATTATTTTTAAAATAATTGTTTTCAAGGTTTAAATTATTTTTGACAATAAGTGTTTTCAAGATTTAAATTATTTTTGACAAAAATTGTTTTCAACATCTAAATTTGTAAATACATATTTTCTATATTCGCAAATTATTTTTGACAATAATTGTTTTCAAAATCTAAATTATTTTCAAAATAAAAAGAATAGAAAACAGAAGTTGTTATAGTCACTAAATATATGTAAGGAAGTAAAGCTCCCCTCAGTTATTTATCTGCTTTTAATAAATCTTACAATAATTTAGAAGAAAGAATTAAAATAAATATCTTGTATTAATGTACAGGGTGAGTCGAAATTTTGTTATTTTAATTAATGACACATTTTTGTTACCTCTCATTTATGAATGAGAACGGGTATTTATTAAAAATGAATTGTGCTTAGAAATTATTTATTTATATAGTTTTCTGACTCTTAATTTACTCTGTACACAAAATTAAATAAATATTATTAAGCGTAAATGTGCAAATAAATTTCGAGATTTTAACAAAAGATTAAAATAATAATGTAAATAATAATAAATAATTTTTAACGAAATATAAACTCTTTTATATTTAAAGACATTTTATTATACAAAATAAAATTACTAATTTTTAATTAAAATTACTAATTTATTATACAAAATAAAGTAAAAGTACTAACGATTTCAGGTCGTTTTATCAGGACTTTCGTAAAAAGCCATAGAATCGCTGATATAGTGCTTAGAACTATGCACATTGGATAGATATAAAAAACTGGATTCCTTTCTTCAGGCAGAAAAGGAATAGATTCATCATCCTCTCGGTTCATCCTGTTCACACTATGATGGACGTGATGGAAAATTTCTATGCCGAGGCAGATTATCTGTAAAACGATAAAACTATGTTGCATTTTTGCACATTTTTGGAAATTTGGAGATTTGGAAATTTTGAAACTTGGAAATTTAGGTTATTTGAAATTAGAGAATTTGAAAACTTAGGTTATTTGAAATTTGAGAATTTGGAAACTTGAGAATTTAGAAATTTGAGAATCTGGAAACATGAGAATTTAAAAATTTGAGAATCTGGAAACTTGAGAATTTAAAAATTTGAGAATCTGGAAACTTGAGAAGTTAGAAATTTGAGAATCTGGAAACATGAGAATTTAAAAATTTGAGAATCTGGAAACATGAGAATTTAAACTTGAAATTTGAGAATTTAGAAATTTGAGAATTTGGAAACTTGAGAATTTAGAAATTTGAGAATCTGGAATTTTGTGAATTTGGAAATTTGAGAATTTGGAAATTTGAGAATGTGGAAATTTGAGAACTTGGAAATTGAGGTTATTTGAAATTAGAGCATTTGGAAATTTGAGAATTTGGAAATTTGAGAATTTAGAAATTTGAAAATCTGGAAACTTAAGAATTCAGAAATTTGAGAATTTGGGAATTTGAGAAGTTAGAAACTTGAGAATTTAGAAATTTGAGAATTTCAAAATTTGAAAATTTGGGGATTTAGGAAAGTTTGAACTTTCCAAACTTTTGAAAGTTTAGAAATTTGAAGACTTAGAAACTTGAGAATTTAGAAATTTGAAAGTTTCAAAATTTGAGGACTTGGACATTTGAGAATATAGAAATCAGAGAATTTTGATATTTAAGAATTTGCAAATTAGCAAATTTGATGATTTGAGGATTTGGGGATTTGAAAATTTGGAAATTTAAGAATTTAAAAATTTAGGATAATTGCGATTTGAAAAAACATAAATTTATTGTTTAAAATTTAAAAATATAGAAATTCAAGTTTTGAAATTTGAGAACTCTTATGTTTTGTAGAATTTTATTTAAAATTTGAGAATTCCGATATTTATTTGAAACGTAAATTTTTCAAATTCAATATTTCAAAATTTGAAAATTTAAAAAGGTTAACTTCGATGATTTCCATCCTATAAAAAAAGCAATATAATATCTTTGTTTTAGACATGTACCTACTCTCATTCTCACTCCACGAACCAACTAAGCAATTTGTTATCTTCATTTACATGCAAGATAACTAAACATTTAATGAAACATGCATCACAAACTGATTCTATCTTTCATCAGCACAACTGTAATACGAAAAATTAGGACAAACGTAATCAAACACTGTATACAAAAGGTTCTTTATCTAAAAACATAAACCTAGCGTTTGCAAAATTCTAACCAGTGTAGAATTGCAAGAAAAGAATCACGGAACCGCACAAGGAAGACGAATGACAAGTAACAAAACGCTGACATACGTGTTTCCGTGATATGAGTTTATTTTGAAAGTGGAGCAATTTTTATTCTTGCACAATATTGCATTTCAGTAAATTTAAAAATATTGCTAAGAACTATTAGATGAATTTGTTGTATTTTCTAATATTTAGTGCTGAATGAAAAATTAGAGGTTTTTTATCCAAATATTTCACTTTTAAAATTAATGAATCATTAATTAAAGGATTCAGTTATTTTTCTTAATTTCTTTCAGCCATTTTGGTTCGAATTTGTTCAAATCTGACTCAAGGATTCTTTTTTTATTACCAATTCTATGAAACTTGAGAATTTAGAAATTTGGGAGTATGGAAATATGAGAAATTTGATATTTGAGAATTTCAAGATTTGGAAATTTGCGAATTTGGTGATATAGGGATTTGAGTATTTGGAAACTTGAGAATTTAGAAATTTGAGAAATTGGAAATTTGAAAATTTAGAAATTTGAGAAATTTGATATTTGAGAATTTCAAAATTTGGAAATTTGGGGATTTAGGGATTTGAGTATTTGGAAACTTGAGAATTTAGAAATTTGAGAATCTGGAAACTTGAGGATTTAGAAATTTGAGAAATTGGAAACTGGAGAATTTAGAAATTTGAGAAATTGGAATCTTGAGAATTTAGAAATTTGAGAAATTGGAAACATGAAAATTTAGAAATTTGAGAAACTGGGAACTTGAGAATTTAGAAATTTGAGAATCTGGAAACATGAGAATTTAAAAATTTGAGAACCTGGAAACTTGAGAATTTAGAAATTTGAGAAATTGGAATCTTGAGAATTTAGAAATTTGAGAATCTGGAAACATGAGAATTTAAAAATTTGAGAATCTGGAAACTTGAGAATTTAGAAATTTGAGAAATTGGAATCTTGAGCCTGGAAACTTGAGAATTCAGAAATTTGAGAATCTGGAAACTTGAGAATTTAGAAATTTGAAAATTTGGAAACTTGCGAATTTAGAAATTTCAAAATTTGGAAACATATATGTATATGGAAAAGTATATTAAGTTTCATCTATTCTTACCGTTACCTTAATTTTTCTAAAAAATTCTTCCGCTTCCAAAATAAACGGCTCTTTGTAATTATAAAAATACTCTATACTTTAATTACATTGTCAATATGTAACAATAAACTGCTATCTTAATAAAAGAAAACAAAAACAAAATGTACGAACAAAAGATGTCATAGCTCTGTAAAAATATTAATGCCGCTATCTTTACACACTAAACCTAATTTCTCATTCAACATTTTAATATGTCTACATCTTAATGGATATCTACATCTGATCATAGCAGTATTGAAATTTATTTTTAATTTCGAAGATATGGTATATAAACAATTGTTGAGAATATAACAAATTATCGCACGTTCATAAATCGATTAACAAAAAACTATTACATAGTTAATTTATATAAAGCGTGAACTCTGTCATAAAATGTCATTCAAATGTCATTCCTTATCGTATAAACTCTGTCATAAAATGTCATTCCTTATCGTATATTTGCCATCGTTAAATCGTTAACAGTTTGTTGTAATATTATTTTAATGAATCAATTATATTTGGCTTAACATCCAATAAAGTTGTCGTCGTCAATCGCTGCATAATTCTAACAACAATCTATCATGTTATCTTTTTTTTCTGTTTATGTTACCTTAATTTTTCTCAAAAATGCAGATATTCAGTTACAAAATGAACAACTCATACGCTCGAATGCGTGTCGAATTGCATAATAAAATCCTGAGGTACCGCGACTGAATCATTCGTGCAATATTTCGTTAAATCGCTTCTGAAAACTGGGTCAGACAATCGCAATCGTGACGATATTGATGCGTGCATACGATTCACTTCCTGTTTGCAAGTAGACATTATAAAGAATGATTTTATATTTTAAACATCGTGAAACTGGATCGGAGACAACGTTGACGAAGAGGATGAGCCTGTGTCATCAGACGATACTTGTTGGGAGACGCACGATTGAGTTTCACAAATATTTTTGAATTCTTTGATTATACTGTTTTATTTTTCGGAGTTTCTGTGGTGTTGACGAGTTATGTGGAAAATTTGGGATTACTGATTTTTTCAATTTTTAAGCTGATGAATTGATGATATAAGTGTTGGAAATAGAAGAGTTAATTTGGAGAAATTGCTAATTTTCAGATAATAATTTCAGTAATAGGGAAACTGGGAAATTGGAAATTTAGAAATATGGATACTTGAAAATTTGAATATTTGGAAATTTGGATACTCGGAAATTTGGATACTTGGAAATTTGGATACTTGGAAATTTGGATACTTGAAAATTTGGATATTTGAAAAGTTGGATATTTTGAAATTTGGAAATTTGGTAATTTGGAAATTTGGATACTTGAAAATTTGGATATTTGAAAAGTTGGATATATGGAAATTTGAAAATTTAGAAATTTGGAAATTTGGGAATTTGGAAATTTAGAAATTTGGAAATTTGGAAATTTGGAAATTTGGAAATTTGGAAATTCAGGAATTTAGAAATTTAGAAATTTGGAAATTTGGAAATTTGGAAATTCAGGAATCTAGAAACTAAGAAATTTAGAAATTTAGAAACACAAGAATTTAGAAATCCAGGAATTTAGAAATGCAAGAATTTAGAAATTCAGGATCTTAGAAATCCAGAATTTTAAAAGTTTCAAAATTTTAAATATACATACTTGGAAATATAGAAATTTCAAAATACCAAGAACTCAAATTAAAAAGATACTATACTTCGCATATTATTAGAATTATTTCTTAAATATTATACGTATAATTTCTTACACACTGTCAAGAATTTAGAAATCCAGGAATTTAGAAAGTCAGAAAGTCAGAAATTCAGGATCTTAGAAATCCAGAATTTTAAAAGTTTCAAAATTTTAAATATACATACTTGGAAATATAGAAATTTCAAAATACCAAGAACTCAAATTAAAAAGATACTATACTTCGCATATTATTAGAATTATTTCTTAAATATTATACGTATAATTTCTTACACACTGAAAGATGTTAAGGCTAGCATGAACGACGTGAGAAAGATTTCGGTTTCGATAAAACTTATCTTTGGTACTATGATAAATACTGGCAATTTTTGCCATATTTCGAAGTTTTTCCAATTCCTTATGACCATTTTCGTCAATTTCTCTGTTTCTGTTCTTTTTCTTAAACATTTTAACCTTATTTTCGAATTAAATATACTGTCAATAAATTATGATATCATTGTTATTCTCCTTTGAGTTTGCATAAAATCCTAAGTGAAATTGCAGTTTTATATATTCTTTATAAATAATTCAATATCGATAATTTACTCAATAAACTCAGCAGGTAATATCAGGTGGGTTATTAAATTAGCAGCAATTTCTGTTAAAAAGGATCACAGTGTAAATAAAAAATTTGTGGCTACAATTTGTACAAGTAAATTTGTAGTAATTATTCTGTAATTTTTTAATAATATAAATAAAAGTTAATAAAATTTCAAACTTAATAGTACATTTATGAACTATGAGGAAATATACATTTATTATTCTGGGACTAAACATGTTCATAAATAATAAGGTTCTCAAATTTATAAATCTTTTAATTTTTTCAGCTTTGAATATTCTCAAACTTTTCTCTTT